ATACACATTAGTAAGTCATTCATAAACAGTTATAAATGTTTTATCCTTTGTTATCTACACACTATGAAGCAGTTGTTAAGTATTAGTACATTTTTAATTCATAATTTATAAACCACTGTTCTTACGTTAATACACATTAGTAAGTCATTTATAAACATAGTTATACATGTTGTATTCTTTATTAATAAGCTCATCTATCATACTTTATACATGATCGGTTCACTATTTATAAATGAAGTATTATTTTAATGACAAACCAATTATATATGAGTTGTTAATGGTTCATAAGATCATTTGGAAAGTTTGGAAAATTATTACATAACTGCCTGTTTTTTGATACTTTCCCGACAAAGAATATAAACAATCTCAGCATAACTCATAAATCTACCAGTGGCAAAGCCCAAAGGAAAACTAAAATCATAGACCACACAAAGCAACCAATCAGCCATAACATTATGACCACTGACAGGTGAAGTGAATAACACTGATTATCTCATTATTATAGCACACTGTACACCCGAATAAGTAAGCAGTACTCAAAAAACCTCAATTCTTTTGAGTTTATAAACTCAAAAGTCAGAAGTTTCTAGAACTTAAATATTTAGAGTTTGGGTTACATATACTTTTTGATTACTGTTAGATAAAATTACTGAATAACATAACTCAAATATTTAGAGTTAATGCAAATCTAAAATATTCATTGGACAGAAATTAATCATTTTAAGTATGAAAACCCAGTGTTTCATGTTCTATGAACTCAATATTTATTAGTTTCTTGTTCAATATTTTCAATTACTACTAACTCAAAAACACTGACTGCCTCATACACAAATATTAGGATTCTCTGTTTTGTATTGTGTGTTCAGTGCAGCCTAAGAATAGCCATTTAAAATAGGCTTGAAACAACTTTTAAAGTGATCATGTACTGGAAAAAAAGCAAACAACTATGCAAATGTGAAATGACCATTGAAAGTAGATGTCATCATAATCATCACAAATTCAGAATAACTGTATTGCAGAGATGTCCTAATCTGTAATGACCACACATTATGTGATCTACATTAGCGCCTATGGCAAAATCAATCGTACACTCACCTGGAGGTCATAAATCCTAGGATCTCCGCAATTGCTGATTTTTAAAAATACTTTATTTTATCATTTCACTTACTCAGCGATACAAGAGCTGCTTTTGCAAGTCAGGTGATTATGGACAAGATGAAATCCCTTCAGCAGCACTCTCTATAGTCCTTAATGGGCACACAATATATGAACACCAACTTTGTATTAGTTTACAAAATAATGGCCATGTAAACACTTCTCACAAACATGTGATACTGGAATAGTTTAATGTTGTGAGAAATGTATTTAACGTTAGTCTCTAAGAGTAAGTTACCAGTTCAATAGTTAATAAATCCTCCATAACAATGATAATGTTCAGTTTTGGATGAAACTGTTTCAGAGAGTTGTTGATTCGACTGTATGATCATTTTGGAAACTGCAGTTGTGCTGCTGGTAATTTGTAACGTTATCACAGGTGCTTCTGTTATTTTGTCCATCCCATTAATATCTGAGCCGATGCTAAATAATACAATCTTTTGTGTAACTTAATAATGCAACTCATGTCAACGTAAGGTTACCACAAACATCTTCCAAAATGAACAAATGATAAAATAGTTTCAATGAAAACTGAGCATTCTTCACCAGTTAAAAGGTTTCATTACCACAGTGGAAAAATAACGTTACTCCTTCACAAATACATATTAACGTTACAGCCACTTCAGACGAGGCAACTGAGGGGCTGAGGAGAATCATTAGGTTTACAGCTAATAACGTTCACGTTAAACTTTTAGCCATGCATCAACACTATTTCAGGAACAGCTTATAAACAAACGCAGAAGTTGACTGTCTCCACAATATAACGTTAACTAACGTGATTTAACGTTAACTGACAGTGACATCAGTTCACAATAGTGCAAAGTTAACTTAACGTTACCTCAATGTGAGCTAGCTTACTTCTAGCGTTAGCCTTTCTGTAAACGTAACTGCGCCGTACTCTGCGAAAACAGAGCCGAAATGTGATAAACTTTTTTACTCACCGGACCAAAGCGCATTCTCTGTCGACTGTCAGGCGAAGGCTTCAGTCACAACGTTACGTTACTTTGGAGCTAATGTCCGTTAACATTAGCATAAAAGTAACGCGCCAAACTGCCTCTACATCCTGAAGCGGTCCTCCCAGAGCACACACGGTTGTAAAATAGAAATTAAAGAACACAAAAACATTTCTATCACAGCGCTGCGAATAAATACTGGTTCTCTTGACTTTTGTTAAATAGGTTATTAACAGTTTTGCTCCGTTACTTGCAAAACCGTCTCCCTCGCATCGGGTAGCCATCTTGAATTTTCTGAAAACGTTAAGTCCCGTTTGGCCGTTTATGACGTCACACGTCAGCGTGCGTCTCAACACTCGAAGGGTTTGATTTAGAAATCCATCATCACTCAAAAACCATGATACACACATAATTAAAACAACATAACTCGTTAAGAACACTTGGTTGTTTATTGTATAATTTTAACTTATTAAGTACACAAAGTTGATGTGCTAGAAGCAGGAAAAATTGGCAAGCGTAAGTATTTGACAATTTTGACATGGGCCAAATTGTGATGGCTAGACGGCGGGGTCAGAGCATCTCCAAAACTGCAGCTCTTGTAGGGTTATTCCCAGTCTGCAGTGGTCAGTACCTATCAAACGTGGCCCAAGGAAGGAAAAGCAGTGAACTGGCAACAGCGGCCAAGGCTCATTGATGCACGAGGGGAGCGAAGGCTGACCCCTGTGGTCTGATCCAACAGACGAGCTACTGTCAAGTGACTGAAAAAGTTAATGCTGGTTCTGATAGAAATGTGTCAGAACACACAGGGCATAACTGTTTGTTGCATAATGGGGCTGCATAGCCGCAGACTAGTCAGGGTGCCCATGCCAACCCTTATTCACTGCCAAAAGTTCCTACAATGTGCACGAGAGCATCAGAACCGGACGATGGAGTAATGAAAGAAGTTGGCCTGGACTGATGCATCACATTTCCTTTTAAATCACATGGATGGCCGTGTGTGTGTGCGTCACTTACCTGGGTAAAACATGGCATCAGGATTCATTATGGGAAGAAGGCAAGCCGGAAGAAGCAGCGTGATGCTTTGATCAGTGTCCTGTTGGGAAACCTTGGGTCATGCCATGTTACTTTGACACATACCACCTACCTAAGTATTGTTGCAGACGATGTACACCCTTCCGTGTAAAGGGTGTACATCACTAGAACTAGAACTATTAAATAGCAGTGAAAGTAACTCAAAAGTAACGCAAAGAATGTAAAGCATTACAATTCTGACACAGTAAGCTAATATTATAATGTCATATAACTAATTACTTTCAAATGACAGTAATTAGTAATCTATAATGTATTACATTTTTGAAGTAACTTGCCCAACACTGGTTGTAACATGCGTTAGGCTACTGAGATTGTAACTGGTATAATATTACCAGTAATTTTTTTTTTAGTAATGCGTTACAGCCAAAAGAAACTTACTGTAGGCTAACGCGTTACTCCCAACACTGTTAGTGTTGATGTGAAAGAGTTGGACAGCTAAAACTTGTTGTTTAACATCAGGGGATCTACTGACACAGTAGAGCCCATCTCCAGCATTTTTTACCTCATGCCCCCACCTTGTGGAATAAAAGAGGGACTGAAATGAAGAGAATAATATATTTCAAACAGGATGATATTTGTTTTACCATTTATGGATGAATAGGGCTTCTTGTAATATGATACCAACCTACTTAAATAGAAAGAACAATAGCTTTGGGAAAACACATCACAAGTATAAATGTATCATTTACTTTTTATAAACTATTGTTGAAACAAAAAGGAGGAAAGCGAAACAAAGACAATCATACAACTGTTTATTGTAACACTGGCTTTACTGTTTTTTGCCTTATTGATCTATTCCTGTAGTTCTATACAGATGCATTTTAATATACAGTGTTGTATGATAATAAACATATTAATTTTTGATTAAGACAAAGACAAAATCAAATGAAAACTTCATGGTATTATGATTTCACAAACCACAAGCTATATACCATAAACACAGCAGACGCACAGCATGGTCAAATGCTGTGTCATGTGACTGCTGAGAGCTATTAAAAACTTCAAACCCATTATTAATTGGACCAAAAATTAATGTTAGAGGTGTATATCCATAGTTCATACAATTCAAACTAAGATTTGTGAGGTTTAAAGTAGGCTAAATCTCATCCATCCATTCATCATCAACCGCTTATCCTGCGTACAGGGTTGCGGGGTAGGCTAAATCTATGGGTTTATTTTGCATTCAAAAGGACTGGGTTGTTTAGAATCAGGTCCTGAGGCAGTCCTTCTGATGGACTCAAATGGAAAATACATGGACCCCAACAAGCTCTTTTCAGGACAACGTGTAGGCCTACAATCCAAACATCTGTCAGAGATATCAAGCAGAGGCAAATACTTACCCAGTACAGACTCAAAATCTATTAATACCTGATTTCAAATAACTTCAAGATGACAATAAATTAAGAATAATCCTAGGGGAAGGACAAACGGCAAACCTTGCCACCAAGTATGTGTCCCTGTGTCACAACCTTTATATACAGTCTAGACCACCCCAAAACCTCCGGATAAGCGGCATCCATGAGGAAATTTGAGTCAGATGCACCAGCTTATCATATAAGTTACTGTAGCCTATGCCATGTGACAGAGAAGATAAGACCAAAGCGCAAGTCTGAGACCTCCTTACCCAATAGCATAAGATGGTGAGTTTAATGCCAAGGAGGGTGAGCAAATTTTGAACTGAATTTTACAGCAGAGGAGAAGAACTTTCTGCTTTCATTTCAATGGAGGGATTATCACGCTGCTGGTAGCGGAGTAGCTGGATAATAGGGTTTGAATCCAATAGACAACCGAGGCAAAGCAAGCAGTTCAATGATTTATTTAACACACAACAGGGGCAAAAGCTTACTAAGAGGTAATGAGGCAGGCAGACAGGAACAGGAAAGCTGACACAGACGAACAAATGCAGAACAGAGATGGCAAGAGGAATAATCTAAAATCCAGGCAAAATCCATAAACAGAGGGAAGAAGACTGGAACAAGGGTTCAAAGACAAAGACAATCTGGGGATGAGCGAGGGGAACAATCAAACTAAAATATAAGCTACTAGTGAGGATGAGAACCTCACGGCCTGGTTTAAGGGCTGCTGATGGGGTTGCAGTGCCCCTTCTTCCCATGTCCATGTTTCTACATATTGAGTAAGTAGTTTATTTTAAAAGTGGGTGAATTATTCAATTATTGCCATGTCATTCCAGTTTTTCCATTTTCTCTATAAAAATGTTCTATCTATTCTGCCTGGTCTTTTAATCCATCAATCAGACAAGCTATAAATATAATATAATGTATGATACATTACACAGCTACAGCTTACATCATTCTATCAATGCACTGAACTTGAACTTGCTCTTTATTAGACTACTAAAAAAGAAAATGCCATTTTAAGTCACTTAGTGCATGTATGGGAGAATTTTCTTTGTCAGGTCAGCATCATGCCCTATTGCCAATTGCTTTGTTTATTTTGGTGTTTGTACATCCTGAATATACTATTGATTTTCTTCTTAATTACAATTCCCCTATTACTCCACAAGGTGGAGGTAAAACAATTATGGAAAAATGTATCAATAAGTCCCCATATATTTACAATGGTCATAGATCTACAACTAGATTTCTAAATTATTTTTTTTTATGCACTTTTCAAATCTTTTCATTCAACGCACATAAGCATTGTAATTATTAAACTATGACATAACTATTTTTGTCATGGCGCCTTCACATGTCTTGTAAAAATGTGAGCAAAAAGAGTAATGACAATATGACTTTTTTGTTTAATTTCCAGTTACATGTGATTTATAAATTTGTATATCTGACACTATAATACAATAGGACGAGCAGATTGGTTTTCAAAACTGTGCTACACAGTGCTTTTACAAGAGCAAAGATAATAAAAACCTATAAAACAGATAGTATATTGGAGGTAACATTCAATACCACAGCAATCAAAACACTGGAAATTGTATCAGTTACTGTAGTACTCAAAACTTACACCTTAAGAACAAGTTATGCAACAAACAAATGTGATAAAAAAAGGTGGACTCATATGAACACGCATCTTATAAAGACTTATTATTACATTATTTTGAAAGAATTATATAAGGAATAAGGAATAAGTAGGAAAATAAGCAAAATATACTATTCACTAAATTCCTTCTTTTCTTCTGTGCATTATTACTTAGCTTACACAACATAAATAGAGTCTCATCTTACTGCTTGGATTCTTCTACCTGACATTTGCCAGCCATTAAGCAAATCTTATAAGTTTAATAAGTGCAGTTTAAAATGTCCTTCAGAGTATGCATTCAGAATAATATTTCCATTAATGAGATATTTGGTCATCATTTTCTGCAGCGTCATCATAAGCTTCCATTCACTACCTGGTGCCAGACTAATGTATCAGGTGTAGTGTGAGACATGAGTTCCTTCCTTGTAGACTTGGCATTTCTGAGGGTGTCTTCTTTGTAAATGAGTCTTGTTTCACAGCTGTATCTAGTTCAAAGTGGTATGAGGAGCTTGATATTTCACTGTGAAATTCTAAGTTTGCTCCACAGAGAAGTTTGACTCAGATCTGTTGAACAACACAAAAAAAAGTTAATTACATGTATTGAGAGTTCATGAGAGGAGAGGGCATGGTACATGAGAAGAATGTGTGCAAGCGTGAGTGAGCTTACATCTCTTGGTGCTTGTGTATCATGTGGTTGTTGTACTCTAAAACAGGAGGAATGGTCTCTTCATCCTCAGGAACCTTAAAGAGACACATGGGATCAGATCATAAGCCATCTGAGTGATTTCATGGTCCAGTGTGTTCAGTAAAGGGTTAAAGTGTAACACCACCATCTAGTGGTAGCAAAACAGTCTTACCTCCCAGTAAACTTCATCATCAAAGCAGTTGTCATCTGCAGGGTCACCCCAGATAGGGAACCTCAGAATGAATCCTTTGAAGAGAGAAAGGAAACAGGCATTAAGCAACACTTCCACTGCATATACAATTTTCTTTTCCATGTTCCCAATTAAAACCTCTTTTGCACTTGAAAGAAAAGAACTCTTAGTACTAAAGTGCTCTATAAATAAATGTCATGCCTCTGAATTCCACATAATCATTAAAACAGACTGCTTGATATGGAAATAATTGTTTTCCTAAGTCTTATAGTACTAAACATTACATTCAAACTTACCAACAATAGCTCCTCCAACAAGTCCAAATGCAATTGCCACACAAGTGCCAGCAGCCTGGTAGCCTCCCTGGGTATTTACAGATCTTTTTCCAGAAGCCACTTCCTCAAAAATGCTGTTCAACCTGAACAGGAATAAAACTAATTTTAACACAGAGTTTCATATAAAACCTTGCCAGTCACAGTAAGATCTTTCTCAGTTCAGTTGATAAAACCTGAAGAACAAACTGCCAATATCTGTGAATTAAAGCAATCACTACAGATTTTCTAAATTTCAAGAAATATGTATGCCACTCACCCCTCTTTGCTATAGACAGAGACAGAGGCGCTTGCAGAAACAATGGCAGCAACAAAGCCACCGAGCATCCCTGGTACAGCGTGAAGGTTGTGGATCCCACATGTGTCCTGGATCTTTAAATATTTCTCCAAGAAGGGCTGAGAATGAGAAAAATAGTCTCACATTAATGACTGATCTGTAGCCATGGCCATATGATTTTAAAAATAATGACATCAGTTCCAGACCACTAGGTGTGACATGCCTCCTTAGACAAATTAATGTTTGGCCTAAAATTCATCAGCGCCTCCACTAACATTTTGAGGCGTGTTGCCACAACTTACTTCAGGTAACTAGGCTCTTTAAAGTACTCAGTACTTTCATAATCAGTCATCAGTTCTAATAAACCTGTTGTTTTTATTTGCTTCTATTTTTTTGGCTTCTCCTTTCATTATGCTTCCTTCACTTTGCTTCTGAGTTTTTATGTCACTTTTTTTTACTTTACTTTCTATTTGCTGTGATGGAGCTACAGCAGACTTCATGAGTTAGGAGGTGAAAGACTGCAGGCTCACCGTGACATACAGGTAGCCAAAGGTGGAGATGATGCCACAGCAAAAACCCACAATTAGTGCACCATAAGGCATGATCATGAGCTCTGCTGATGCTCCCATGGCAACGCCGCCCGCCAGAGTGGCATTCTGGATGTGCACCTGTCAGTTAAAACAGCTCGTTAGTCATGAGAGAAACACATACATGTTACATGACTAGTTTGTGATATATATATAAGTATATAACATTACCATGTCCAGTTTTCCTCTCTTCTGAGACATGCTGGAGATGGCCACAGTGGTGAGAACCGAGGAAGTGAGGGTAATGTAAGTGTTGATGGCTGCTCTGTGCTGTCCGTCGCCATGGTTTGCGATAGCCGAGTTGAAACTAGGCCAGAACATCCACAGGAACAGTGTGCCTGTGAGGTGAGAGTGAGTCAATAAAAAAGCACAGGGAGATTGACACATTTATAATCAAGAAAAACAGGTTTGACAACGATGAATTTAAAATATTACAAATTCCAAAAACTTATTGAAGTCTATAAATCATAAGTAGCAGGTCACTCACCAATCATGGCAAACAGATCAGAGTGGTAGACAGATCCGTTGAGGCGTTTGCTTTGGTGTAAGTTTGGTCGGTAGAGGACCCAGGAGATGGCCAAACCATAGTACCCTCCGAAGGCATGAATGACCATGGAGCCACCAGCGTCTCTGCACTGTGGGAATAAGCAGCACAAAAGAGAAATTGCAATGTTTAAATGAAAAGTCTCACACCTCTGACAATAATCAAGTTCCCTGTGATGATTGTGTTTGGTGAGACTCACATGAAGGAGATCGAGGATGATATATTCCTCAACAGCAAACAGTGTGACGCCAAATAAGGTGACAACCATCAGCTGGACAGGGCTTACTTTTCCCAGAAGGGCACCGTAGGCAATCAGAGAAGCGGCACAGCAGAAGTCTGCATTGATCAGACTATGTGGGGGACAAGGAAAAGGAAGAGAACAAGGTCAGAATGAGTGGAAACATTAACAATTGCAATGGTCTCCGAGGAGTCACAGTGCCATATTGAGTCAATTTCAGCAAACATCCTAGAATGATTCGAAGGGTAATTTTGGTAGTCTGAGTATCTACCTTTTCTACGGTCAAAATGACTAGTAGGTACAAAAAGTTTTGGAATCCGTGCAGTAGATGGCTTCAGCCCGCAGCTGTGAGCAAGCTGCAGTGGCTGCAAGATTTTTTGAAAGGCTCAGACTATAATATGAGGTGTCTAACAACACCAGGAAAAGAGCTCTACAACAGTGGCTCTCAGGGTCCTGAGGGTCTTCCAGGAGTTCTCCAAGCAAAGAGGGGTATATTTTATTTTTAGTATACTTCCATCCATAAGAAGCACAATGACAGAATATATGACTATTTTGTTCATGGATTTCACACACTTTATATAATGAAACATCTGAAAACAAAAATCCCATCAGAGGAGCCACTCTGGGACGAAATCGTATCCAATGGGGTTCCATGATCTAATTTGTGTCAAGCCTAGTTCACACTTTAGGGATCCTTGACATGAAAATGTTTGAGAGCCACCATTCTTACAACCAGTTACATCCCTTTTTAACCTGAAAGATCGGTTTTGCTCAAGGACAATTTTCGATATCTTTTGAGAGGTCAGTTGTTGCAGGAAGACCCTGAAGGAAATGTGAGTCAGAGTTGAAGAGAGAGGTTTGCTGTGTACTATAAAGAGGGAACTTCTAGCAAGATGTTATTTCCTAACTTAACTTCAGAAAGCCTAGAGATTTTTTTGACTTCATTGAAATAGCCAATCTAAAAATTGTATGAAGTTCACATATAAAGTCAAAAAGAAACAATAATACGATTAAATAAAGCTATAGGCCTACATATTGCAGTGAAATGCAATAATGACCAGACCGTGTAAGGACACAGATCCTATTAAAATGTGCAGAGATTTCGGTCGTGTTTTAAAGAAATTATTCTTGTGTAAAAAAGATTAGCCAACACCGTTCCACTCTGCTAGTTGCAAAACAAAGTCAGATTGTATTAAAGTGACAAAATTAGTTAATAAGTTCATTGTTAAGTCATGTTCCTTATTTTATAAACATAGGCTACCAAAAATTTAATTTTCTTTTGTAAATTCAGAGAATTTGTCCAATTTAAGAAATCATTAAGTCGGGAATTCGCAAAAGTCCTTGGTAAATTTAGCAACATCCATAAAATAAATGTGTTGTTTCAATGATCTAGACCAAATAGATATCTTCACTTCATTCACTTTTGGTGCAATTGAAAACTTGGGAAAAAAATGTTGGTCTCAGTTTTTCAGCTTCATACATTTCTGTTTGACAAAAATGGCCAGACAAAGGCCTTCTTAATTGAAGTACTAGGCATTCTGGGTTAGAACGCCAGAATAACCAATAATAATAATAATAATAATAATAATAATGCTGCTCCACTGAACGCTAGAACACGACTTGAAGCGGCGGCAGATTGACTTTGAAACTCAAAGGCAAAACAAGCTGCCTTAAAAATGTGTAGGTCTATAATTTAATAAATCATAAAAAATCATATTTTTTTAGTACTGGCTGCGCCCTATGGTCCTCGCTCTTGATTTATACATGATCAACATTGAGATGAAATAGGCCATTTTACAAAAACCATAATGCGCGCTTGAGTTAGGCTACATAACGCACTTTTGCCCACCCACCTGTATCTCTCTAGTTTACTAAATGTTTGATGGTGCACAGAAAGCTGCTCACCGTGCTTGCAATGAGGAGACTTACTTCTCTATTCCAATTTTGATTGTTCCGGTGTTGGGGTCGAGGGAGTGGAACCAGCCTTGCATAAGAAGAGCCCACTGTATACCAAAGGCAGCAATCAGGAAGTTGAAGCCGACAGCACTGAAGCTGTAGCGTTTCAGGAAGGTCATGAGGAAACCAAATCCAACAAAGATCATGACATGAACGTCCTGGAAGCCTGAAGAGGGGGAAACACATTTTGTTGATAAGTCTGGCATGATTTAAATTTGTAGAATAATTAAAAAGGCTACAACACTTAACACGTTATCAAGCTTTGACAAAAATAAATTTCTCTCCAGCACTTTCATTTTTTACTTCACATTAATTAACATAGGGTCATTAAAACGACGAATTTAAAGTTAGCTGTTAAACTGCTCCTCCAGCATACTGTCTAGGGAGGAAACAAAATCCAACAGCCTGATTATAGGCTTTTAAAGATTGTCACAAGTAGGCAACTGTAAGCCCAGAAAAGTAATATTTTATATTGTGCAGTGGTAATAGGCTATTCACACGTTATAGCTATACAAAGAAAAGAGAGCGTCTCATAAATGTTACAACCCAGATTCTAGCTGGAAAAACACCCCCCTTATATCATAACCCATGTTGTTTTTATGACCTGTGACATTTCAATGAAATATCATTTTGTGGTAATTTTGTGTAGCAATTTCTAGCCGTGAACAAAAACGGTAGAGTGAGTATGTTAAATGGTCACAATCTTGTTCTAAACTGTTATAATAAAAAAATAAATAAACTAATTATTTTAATGGCTTATAAGGAGGCTAATGCATTGCCATCCATTTGTCGACAGTCGAAAAATCCTGAAGTCAGTGACATTTATTGCAAAGTTAATTTCCTTACATGTTGTTTATTGTACTTACTGGGATATCTGTAGTAGAAGTCATTTTCGACATCGCTGGTGATGTTCTCATGCAGTTTGGTCTCTGCCCAATGTGCGTCTGACTCATCATCATACCGGATGAAAACTCCAAACAGCACAACCATGGCAATCTGCCAGACGAAGCAGACAGCCGGCAAACTAACACGAACATTGGTGTTCTTTTGCCGGCCGAAAAAATTGCCCATGCTCTCACAACAATTCCCCATGGCGATGCTGCTGATGATGATGATGCTCCGATCACTCCCCAGCAAGGCCCTCGGTCTGACTTCCAGCAGCTTCTCAGCAGGTATTTATATGGACATTTGGAAGGGTGTGATCCAATTCTCCACTCACAAACAGGGGGTGGACACACGTTATGTTGCAGGTTGGCCTAAACCACTCCTTCTCACATCCCTGCTGTCACAGCCAGGCCAAGCTAAACATTGGCAACACTCCTCCTAAAACAGTTCAGCGAAGTAAAGGAATCCGGGCCTACATGTATGATGAAATGGTTTAAGCCCACTCGATATGGGAATGACTTTAAACTATAAGAAAACACAATCAGGAACTGAGCGCCTGCCAATTTGGTGGATGAAACAGCTGCAATCCAATCACAGTGCAACCCTTGGTGTATGCCTTAAACAGAGTGAACACAGTGTTTGAAATAGTAGCAAAGACTCAACATTAACACTCTAAAAATGTTTTTGCTAATGTTAAGTGAATTATGTATGTTCATGGTTACAAAACAACTGATGAATGAATGAGAGTGAGTGAGTGAACTGCACGAGCCATATGAGTCTAAACAATACAAAACGGGTAGGCTAACTAACAATTAGACCTTACACTAATGCAATAAGTGCAAGTTCAAAATAAACAACCTATGCATTAACGTCTGCGTAAACCCTGATACTCCTTTCAGTACATTCAGACATGAGAGAAATGTGAGGAAAAACTTTGTTTAGGCTATTGTCATGCTGAGCTAATCAGAGGCAGAGAAGCTGGGGGAGGATGCGCAAAATCGCTTCCAGCTTGGAAGCAGATGAGTTGAACTTTTATGTTGTGTGCAAGTGACAACCTTCTGGTCTGAAAAGCGAAGCCAACTGTGGAAGTCAATATAAGTGCCTTAAACCTGCATTCTTTTAAAATGCCAGTAGGGGGCGAATCCACTGTTTGCCAAAGAAGTCTGACTGTTGCCAATTGAACTGAATGACAAAATTACCCTCCTCAGTAAACACTTTCCTAATGATTTTATCAATAATTCTTCAATACAGCATGATGTTCATTTAGTAAATTATGGTCCCATTTAGAGTAAAATAGAAGCTAAAACAGGGTATGCTTTAGGGCACGGCTACCTTGTGATTTACAGACATGTCAATCAGGAAAGAGGCTAATCCTATCAACTTTACTGTGTACATTTAACCAACAGTTCACCTGAATTACAGATGCACCTTGCTAACCAACCTAGCTAGCTAGGCCCATCCTCTCATCCAAATATGGTCACTTCTGGTTCCAAAGAACCAAGATGGCGATGGCCAAAACGCCAAACTTTAGGCTTCAAAATTATATTCCACAAACCAGGGGGTAACGTCACAGTGGCTACGTTCACTTTTTTTTATACAGTCTATCGTTGTGTGTCGATAGGCCTACATGCCCTGGCTGGGTTTGCAGTAATGTGTTTTTGTTATACACAATGTGGTGTAGCCTATGACTTTCTCCTTGGTTGGTCACATTTCCCGAGTTGGGAAATTGTTCCTCAGATTGCAGTGAGGAACACAAAATAATTGATTGTGTGAAGTTTTGATGATGAGACTGACTCCATCCTTAGACAACCCTGGTATTTTCAGGCGATTGCTGGATTTCTTTTGTCTCCCTAGTTGGTGTGCTTGAGGAGCACCTTAACAGCTAATGATACAGTTTTTAAATTCATGTCAAAGATGGTACAAAACTAACTGTTTTGTGATAAATGATTACATTCTGGAGGAAGTAAAGAGTGCTGATTTTATTGCTGAGCAGCAGTGTTGGGCAGTAATGCGTTACTCACTAACTCAGTAACACATTCCTGTAATAATATTACTTTTCCAGAAACTAGTAGTGTAATGGATTGCTTTTCCAAAACAGTAGGCTAATATTATTACAGTCCACATCCAAGTAACGCTGTGTTACATCCTTGACATGAATGATATTATGTTGTTCAAGTCAGCTGTTAGACAAAAATCTGACGGAAGAATCGTTCTTTCCACAGCTTTAAGTATCACCATTATTGATTCACAGTCTAAGATACAAAGAACATTGTCGTCCATTGTAAACTCTGTGCGACCAGAAAACCCTCGAACACACCAAAAGTAGGGATTTACTTGCTTAATTTTTTTTATTTCAGACAGTGCGTTAAGTGGGTTACCTGTTTTGTAAAACAATTACTCCTTGCTGCTGCCATTAATTTCATATTAATTAAAATGAGGGGGGGGGGGGGGGGGGGGGGGTAGTGATAGTAATATAGTAACATCCACTGCAGAGAGCAAACCCCGACACCATTGCTACAGCCCTTTAGCAGAGGTTATTTTGTGAGCAAGGTTTCTGTGCATAATGATTTTTATTGTTAAAAAAACAAACAAAAGTATATACTTCAAGAAGATATATTTAAACTTTGATTGGTACTGGACATTTGTTCATTTTCAGTGTGGTGTTTTTGTGCGATGTGCATTGTTGCCATTTTAAAACAAATCTCAGATCATTCCATGTTTGTCTAGGTAAATGGTTATTTACCATATTTTACAGTTCTTACCTAAATAAGATGTCCGGATTTGTTAGTCAAGGTGTTATTTACTGTTTTATTTCAATTTCGAATAAAATAACTGGTAAATATTCAAATACAAAGTGGTAAACCTAGAACACTTACCAGCCTATAAGCTGTATTAGAACAGGAAGCTGCTCCTGAGTGAACACACCTGTCAGTCAGGCTTACACTGTATCAGTTACAGTTGCATACTAAACTAAGGTGTGTTTAACTTTGATCAGAAGATACAATAGTTATTCACAGCAATCAGAAAACCGCAGGACTAAAGTCCTTCTCTGTTGTTATAACAGCAACATATTTTTATTGCTTCATTATAACATATAATATTCTAACAGAGGGTTGACTGAGCATGAATATACGTTTCCAGTTTCATTCTGCTGCTAACCACTGAGCCTCTCCACTGGAGCTGCCAGGGGTGCAATGCTTTGTTTAAAGACCCTTTAACAATGAACACCTGGCAACACTAGTTGTTTGTCACTTATTTCCTACCCAGATTATTCTTCAGGTGTCTAATCTTTAGTCCACCACTGCCTGAAGATGAGAGGAGTCATGATATTCATACGGAACAGAAAAAAATGAACAGGAGCAATGAGCAAATCTGTATAAGGTCGTCTTTAAAGTGTTTATCAATTCCACTTCATTCATCACATGCCTGCTGGTAATTAGTTTTCTCCTCCTACAAATAATGTGTACTTTGTGTTCTGGTTGTGTTGCGCAATCTCAAAGATGATCTAACAGAAGAGATTCCAGTCTAAGTATTCATGTGAGGGCTTTGCTATATCTCTGGGAGACAAAGAACATTCCAGATGATATCTGCTTTCCTTCTTTTCCACATTCCACTCCTTCAACTCATTATGTAATGCATTATGTCTCCATTATGAGATTATTTTCTTAGATTATATTACAGCGCGTGTTCAAGAGTCAAGATATGATTAACAGTATGTACTTCAACTCAAATTAGAGTTAATAAAATTGATAGAAGTTGATTGTATTTGTGCACATTTCCTAATATTACATGCACATTGCAGGTTTTACACACCCATAAGGGTAGGTAAAAAAAAACTTTTGTGGTATATATTTGAAAGACATTTATGTTTTCATGACAGACTGAATTATGGCCTTGTGCTTTCAAGGTATTTGCACTGTATTGTATTGAAAACAACTGCTAAACGTGGCCACAAGTGACATATGTGCGATAGTGGTAACTGCTAAAACATAATTTAACAGTAGCACAATTAGAGAGAAGTCTTAAAGTCAGTAATAGGAAGGTCTGCAGATGCACATCAGTATCTAAGTAAAGGAATTGCTCCCAATCTTTCTTGTTTGCATCTCCTGATCTAAGTTAAATATGTCTACCTGTGCACCAGTTTAACCAACAACTTTCTTTCTTATTTATTTGAATAACTTTTAAATAATATCAAGAAAAAGCTGGATCATACCTTTGTGTTTTTTAATTACTTCCACTTGTTCGTTAATTATTCAGCGCTTCAGATTTATCTTGTGGTCCCAACCACCAGGTTGACCTGCTTATCTAACATTACCCATCATAAGCAGCTGGTGACACTGGACTGAGTAAAAAACAGCAATCCCTGAGTGTACTGAACATAATAATACCCCTAATTTGTTCAGTATTGTCCATTTTGTTGTGGAGCATTTTGCTTTTTCACTTCACTTCAAGATATCACAAATAGTCCCTGGCAAATTATCCTGTGATGATGAATATTGACAACGACTCCTATCTTTATCAGCTACAGTGCATGAGTAAAATGTTCATCAGCTGAAAGATAATTTTAGGGATCAGTGCCTTTCTCAGGTGATGGAAACCATGTTAAAGCTTTTGATACAGGAGGGAGAAGAATCACAAGGTCATATTTAAAGTTCTATCACAGGGAGCATCCGCCCTGCTTAGGGTCCGTCTGTAGGGAGTATTTGAATAAGTAGATGAACGTATTAGAATGCTACAGAAAGTACAACAGGGAGTGATCATGCTGTTTCAAAAAACAATTAGGTCTACATTAAATTTTTTTTTTTACAAATGAATAGAATATTGCACAAAATTGCATAAGAGTTGTTTGTCGTTCAACTTAATCGATGTTGAAATGATATGTCATCTTAAAATATTTCAGTGTGGTTAAACATGTGACAAAGGGACATTATGGAGGTTTCAGATCTTATCTTTTGCATTTCACCATTGTTGTCTGTCACATGGTGTGCGGTGTGCCCTGCTTTAGTCGCACAGAGCCCAAGAATGATGCAGGTGGAGATATTATGAGCTCGTGTCAATCTACGAGCAAATGAGATGCAGCTTTTTAAACAACCAGACTTAATTTTCTTTGCTTCAGCATTCCCTTAAAATACTGTAACTGTGCATCCCGTAAGGCAGGGTTGTAAGGTTGCAACCCGACCCTCCAGGGGTTCCTTGCAGTCTCTGCAAAACTCTCTGTTTTAGCCATGGCCCAAACAAGAGGTGTTTCTCTCTCTCCCTTTGAATCAATATTTG